TGTTTTTTGGGTTTTTTTTTGTTTTTTTTTAGCTTTCAGCGTCCTATTATATTTAGTCTCCTATTCAGTTCAATTGATCAGGCAAATCCTACATGCAAACCACGGCAGAGTTTCTTAAAGCATGGGCTATAACGTCCATGCTAAGCAGACTCACCTGAGAGGCTTAGAATCCTAATGATTCCTGGGCCACACCCAGACCTGCTCAATCTTATCAGTTCTGGCATTCTGCATTTTACCAAACACCTGGAGAGTCTTACACATCAGAATTTCAGAAGTATTGGTCTAAGGGAGAAGTAAAGACAAAATATTTTAGATCACGGAGGATTACTATCGGTCGTCAGCTGGTAACACTGTTTAGCAGCTAAGGAAATCCCAGTTGCTGCAGGGCAATGATAATGCTGAATCCTGGAGCAGTTTTATGCTTACCTGCACTTTTTACCTATCCAGAGATCCCTAAGAGTTCCATCAGTGCCAGTTGAACCCCATATCAGACGCTCTGAGAGTCCCTGTTGTTCTTAGTGTCTTCAGTATCATATGAGTTCTTAAAAGGATTCAGAGTTTTCCTTTCTGTGACTCCAAAATCAAAGTGTGTCTATGCCTGATTGGACACGGTGTATATACTGATGTTCAATTTTATCTATTTTTCAGCAGTCATGGGCTAGTTAACTTAGGCCTTTCAATATAACTCAGAGAAACAACCCATGGACTTGGTCAGTTCAGAGAAAAAAATTTATTTTAATATTTTTCCCCTTTGAAATTGACCTGTCAGTTTGGTCTAAATGGCTAAATTATATGTAATACAATGCTATATGAATTTAGGTCTGATGATTATTAGACAACATCTATTGTTTTGTCAGACACAAAGAAAAATTATTCTGATGTAACCTAAGCTTTTTATGAGTAATTTGAAATGTAGAAGGATATTATTTAGGAGAGACTATGTCAAAAACACCACATTCTCCTGGGTTTTAAAAATTAATAAGAAAAGAATAGAGGAAATAGGTTTCAACGGGTGATTTTTAGAAACATTAAATGAGGTAATAATAAAAGCCAAAACATAAACAGTACCTACCATGTGCCTGAGATGTATGGGGGTCTGAAAATTTGCCTCAGGAAACACAGCTAGTAAGTGGTAGATGTAGCATCAGAAGCCAGTCCTTCTTGTTTTTGAGTCTGTGCTTTTAGCTATCATATAGTGATTAGGTGGATGGGCTGCTTAGCAGTATGCTCGGTATGGAATAGATTTTCAGTATGTGGATGCTGTGCTTGTGATTTTCTTATGATTCTAAGTTAGCCTTGGGCTGCCTCTGTCTTTCTTAGGATCACATCTATAACACTTGAAGAACCGTGGAAACAAAAACATAACATGCAGAATCATATTGTCACTTTTTGTCATCAAATTTTATCCAAATATTGGAAAACTTCTTTAAGGACATTTACAAAGATCTAGAAATAAATAGCAAAACTCTGGTTTAATTTTAAAAAATAAAACGAATGCAGCAATTACTGAACTTCTACTCTGTGCAAGTCACTTTTCTAGTCTCTGGAATAGGAAGAAAAAAAACTAAGATTAGTAAGATGTAGGTTCCACCTATGAAGGAACTTGAAACCTAGTGGTCACAGACAAATTGTATAACATTTAAGCGAGTGAACACAGAAATGCTAAGTGTGGCCTCAATGGAACAGTCTAGATTTGAAATTCTAAATTAGAGTCCAGGTGTTATCGAAGCTGTGTAATTATCAATTGAGCTCTCTAAAACTTAGTTTTTATTAATTTGGGGTGATGGTGGTTGGTATTTTTGTCTAAATCTTTGAAAGGGAGATAATTATACCAAATGTATAATGCTTAGTGAGAAGTAGAGTAAATTACTTAGCATGGGCCTTGGCAGAGAGTCAATGTTCAGGAAACAGCTATTGTGAAACATGCAGCTGGAAAAGCTTGTCTGCATGGCACAGTCAGTGTTAGATGGACCTGGACCCTGCTCCCAAGAGGCGGCTGTAGGTGCACCACATGTGCTTCCCTAGGGCCATAAGCTCCCATCAAGGGGTGAGCAAGAGAGACTATAGAAGAAATACTCTCCTATTTCATTGAGCAGTGGTTTGTAGTTCTCCTTGAAGAGGTCCTTTACGCTCTTTGTTAGTTGTATTCCTAGGTATTTTATTCTCTTTGTAGCAATTGTCTCACAGGATTTTTTAGAGATGATGTTTTTTATCAAGAATTTGGGTTCTTGGTGAATAACTTTGATGATAATCTTTCCACTGTGTCACATGAATGTTCATGGACAACCTCAGACATTTAGGTTCTTGGACTGTATTGAGTGGTCATCTTGCTGAGTTCATATGCAAAATATCTAAGTTTCTATTCTAACTGATGTGAGTCATGACATATGAAAATGATTAAATCATTGCTATGAAGATGTTGTGGGGGTTTTTTTCCTTTACTCTGCCAATTTGAAGAATATCTAAGCTAAATTATATCCCAAGGGACTTAATTGTCAGCCTTAATTTTCAAAGTCTGAATCTTTCTTTGAACTTTCAGAGGATTTCCAAATTAATGTTATTAAATATTTATGAATTTTTGGAGGAAGAGTTCTGCTAACCATAAAACCAATAGCCAAATTAGTAGGATTCAAAAACATATTTTATTTAAAAAACATGTGCTAATGGAAGAATTACATCAAGGTATATTTTAGAATAGAAACTTAAGTTTATGTAAACATAGTGGACTTGCATGGAGTCTTGCACGTACTCTTTAAATGTTTGTCAATGAAATGAGTGAATCAATAATAAATCACTAAGAAATTAATTATAACCATGAAACTTGAAAGCCATCCCAAGGACAATCCACTTAAGGGCACAGATGTTATACCTGTTCTCAAGGACAGGACTTTGCATGGAGAAGAGCCCATTAGGAGTTAGATAGACCCTAATAAGGTGGACTGCCACCTCCCCTGAGAAACAGCTAAGTACTTGACATATAATAGATAATGATAAATATTTGCTTACTTGAATTGTTAAATCCAAGGTCTAGATTGGAAGCATGGCATTTATTCCCCAAGGTCTATAATAGGAAACTCCCTGCTAGTTGAAATTGCCGTGTGCAACCTTATTGCTCTATTGCTTCTAACACCTAAGAACTCAAACTTATGGAGTGAATATTAGTTTTCCCTCTACATAACTTAATCCTCAGAAACTGCAGCTGTGGGTGTGGGATGTGGAGGATGGAGAGGATTGTGTCAGGGGCTACTGTCAGCTGCCTTTGATACCTAATGGGACAATTCTACTGAAATGTCAGCATGCATACAGATCACTTGGGAATCTTTTGAAACTGTAGGATCAGATTCAGTAGTTCTGGATGGGGCCTGAGATATTCTGCATTTCTCACATACTCTCAGGTGATGTTGTCTAAGCTGGTCTACGAATCACACTTTGAGTAGAAAGATCATTAGGGGTGGATTTCTAAGAAGTTAGAATCAGCAGATATGGTATGATGGAAGAGCACTCAAGAATACTTATTATAAATACAGATGAGTCACTTGACTTTCCTGAATCAAAAATTTCTCATTAGAAAAATGAGTATAATAATAGAAAATAATATCTATCATATGTGATTGTTATAAGAAATACATTAAATGCTATGTGAAGAGATATGAGAGTATATGGTACATAGTCATTGCTAAATCAATACATAGTAAAAACATAAGCACACAACTCTATATTGGTAACTGTTAAAGATGACGGGACCTTTAGGCTGTGTGCTTGCTATAGTTCAAAGGATTCCCTTCTTCATTGCAGAATCACAATGTCTAGCACTTAATGAAAGACCAGTATCTTTGGAATTGTATTAATAGCAAACTCGATCACTTCCAATACTGTGCATTTTTGGTCCCAAAGACATTGATATCAGGATAATGACCCAATGTCTCCTCATTCGATTTAACAGGAAAGAGAACTTTGTCTAACAGGAAAGAGAATTTTAACCCAATAAAATGGTCATGACTTTTGGGCCTTGATTACTCTTTAAAAGGAAGTATCATCACTGGGAGAAGAACTGAATGAGGAAGACAGAATTAGCTTCAATTTTCAGTAAAAATATGGTGATAAAATGTCTCATTATTCTTTACCAACCAGTGGTCACAGTGATCTCTAATTTCATAAATTACGTATGGAATATTTTCTCTCTTAGATGTAAAATCAAATATTAGCATTGGCAGTTTGGCCTGATTTGTACCTAGTAGGTACAGCTACCCTTAGGAGCTCAGCCTGCAGTGGTGTGACCAGTACTACAGAGACCCACATATCTTCATATAACTGTAAACTGGCTCTCATGCCACCCAGACAATGTCCCAAAATTGTTCTCACTAATAAACCTGCAAAATATTGAATATAATTCTCAAAAAGTATACAGCAAGCCAAGCAAGGTGGCTCACACCTGTAATTCCAGCATTTTGGGAGGCTGAGGCGGGTGCATGGCCTGAGGTCGGGAGATTGAGACCAGCCTGGCCAACATAGTGAAACCCCATCTCTACTAAAAATACAAAATATTAGCTGGGCATGGTAGCAGGCACCTGTAATCCCAGCTACTAGGGAGGCTGAAGCAGAAGAATCACTTGAACCTGGGAGGCAGAGGTTGCAGTGACCCAACATCTGGCCATTGCACTCCAGCCTGGGCAACAAGAGAGAAACTCTGTCTCAAAAAAAAAAAAAAAAAGAAAGAAAGAAAAAGAAAAGAAAAGTACACAGCAGGAAATAGAAAGTAGAAAACAGTGGATAACCTGAAGTGTAATTTACATCTTTACATCTCTTCCCATGGAGAATTCAGAGACAGAAAGAAACTGTTAGCACCCTGAGACCATCTATTTTAATTCATTTGCAATAAAATCCAGAGTGAATCAGCTAAGCTTTGCTAAAAGAAATGAGATATTTAGAGTCTAATCAGAGAATTGAAACAAAGTGTTATTAAAAGATGTTCTCCACCATCCCTCCGTTATTATCTATAGGTCTCAGGAGAAAAAGGAAGAAGCTATCACCTTACTGAAGGATTCCGTTAAATATGGTCCGGAGTTTGCAGATGCATATTCAAGTTTAGCTTCATTATTGGCTGAGCAGGTAATTGTTTCACACAGTAGTTTTTTTCAATGTCATTGTTACATGTATAAATTAATGTTATACAGATTTTTGTACCAATGATTTAACTTGTAAATCAATATTGAACAACCAATCTCTAGGTCAGTTTCTTTTGGACAGAAATTAAAAGCCTAATTTTCTCACTCTAATAATCTCTGTGTAGTGTAGATGGCCTTTAAACAAATATGGTCCATAATTGGCCATTGATATATTCTCTATTACTTTGGCACAGAATCGATCAAGAACAGTATATGATATTTGCTGTTTTTATTACTACTTACTTGTAATATTTTTCTGAGGAATTGCTAGTGGTCTAAGATCTCTGAACTCAATATGGAGCCATTTGATCATCCTACAAATTCTGTTTTAATATCTATTAGAATATTACAGAGGCTCGTGACACAGGCTCTTAAGAGAACATTTCTTATGGCATAAAATAGAGATGTGTTTTCAGTCCCCTCCTTCTTTTCACCCGTGTCTAAATGATTTGATACCAGTTTTCAGAGTCTTAGATGACCCCTCCTACAGGGAAACAGACATAAGTTGTCTTCTCTCTAAATTGATGATATAGCTTTGTTGACACACATAGTACCCTTGATAGACAGTAGATTCTGCTACCATAAAATTGCCAGATTACTTTAAAACTCAAACTCAACATATCTGCATATACTCTGCAGCATTCAATTGGCTTAAGGGTAATAAGTGGTTTCATACTGTATGTCAGTTTCATAGGGAGCAATTTGCATCAAAACTTTTTGGAGGATCCAGCAAGAAGCAAAATCAGGACATTCTATGAATATTTAAGTGACAGAAAATATAAACCTAGTTTTTTTGCTCTTTCTTCCTGTAGGATAGGTGGGCTTTAGATTAAAAGCCTGTGTCTGTGTTAGAAGTTTTTAATGCATGCTTTAAGTACAATGTATAAACTAAAATGGTCATGGCTATGGTCTATGCTATACACTGGCAGTCCTCAGCTGTTCTTGGCTTGTGTTGAGACAGACATAGGGGCTGGCTCCATCAGTGTTGCTTTGTCTCACCTCACCGCGGCTCCTCCCTTTTCATGGGACCCTTCCCTGCCTCTCACTGGCTGGTTGTCTTGCAGTTACTCAGATGTGCCAAGTGTGCTTCTCTCTCACAGCGTCTGCACCAACTGTTCTTGTAGCACTTCTCTCCTGGATAGATGTCTTAGTATTTCCCAGATATTTTATACCGTGCTGGTTTCTGACTAAATGTTACTATATCAGAGAGGTCTTCTGTGATGACCCTTTGTAAATAGCAACCTTTCCCTGCCCATCATGTTCTCTACCACCGTGTCCTGCCTTATTTTCCCTATAGTATTTATCACCATCTAAAACATATTTATTTGTTTATGGACTTTCTGCCACCATTAGAATATTTGACTCTATGAGAATAGCTATGTATTTTATTCACCTGAGCTCATTTTAAAAATGATCAAGATATTTAATGATGTTGAACTTTTAGTTCCTTCTGTAGTATCTTTGCATTCATCCTTACTATTAACAATTTTTGTAGCAGATGGAAGTTTAAACAGGATAATATATATACTTTTTCCTTAGTTATCTTTAAGGAGTGTCAGATGGTGTATTTAAAATCAATTACTTGATAAATTTAATATTTTGTGAACTGTAATGGCAAATTGCTATCAAGTTATTGCGTTTTACATAGTCAAAGTTGTGAACAATTGTTAAGAAAAATAAATGATGACTAGGATCATTATCTTTTCTTACATACAGAGGTCTCATCTTTTTTTCTTTTTTGAGACTGAGTTTCACTCTTATTGCCCAGGCTGGAGTGCAATGGCGCGATCTCGGCTCACTGCAACCTCTGCCTCCCAAGTTCAAGCGACTGTCCTGACTCAGTCTCCTAAGTAGCTGGGGTTACAGACACCCACCACCATACCCAGCTAATTTTTTGTATTTTTAGTAGAGACGGTGTTTCTCCATGCTGGCCAGGCTGGTCTTGAACTCCTGACCTCAGGTGATCCTCCCGCCTCAGCCTCCCAAAGTGCTGGGATTACAGGTGTGAGCCACCGTGCCTGGCCAAAGGTCCCATCTTTTAGCACTTTCTTGTCCTAGATATGAATGTAAAATGCTGTGATATCTAAAAATGTAACTGAAAGATTGAAAGGTTCTTTTTCTGCTCCTTTGGGTAATTGATTTGACCATTAAAAGGACAGAGCAGCTGTTGGGCATAACTCAGGACTGCCTTCCTTTATCTGACTTTCAACATCCTATCTTCATGTTTTAAACTATTTAGTCATAAAAGTTCATTGGATGTGCAAGCAAGGCACAAACTGTTAGAGAAAAACCCACCTAGCCTAACATTTTTTGGTAGCCAAGAAATTCATTTCTTGGTTGCACAATTTTATTTAACAGCATCCTGGCATTTCAAAGACCCAGAGTACACGAAATCAGTATTGACAAACCTCGGTCAATGTGTAACACACAGTGAAGCCATCCCCTTGGTCAAGCAACTTGTCCTCCATTGATACCATCTGTCCACATGCACGGCCCGCACAGACTGTGGTTGTGGTCCACTCTCGTGCTCCAAAGCTCTCTCCTACACTCAGCTGAAATCACCCATTTTCCAGGCAGTTTTTCAGAAGCTGGACAAAGGATTCATTCTGTATTTATACCAGCCTGACATTTCTGGTTTTCTAGTACATTTTAGTTTTTCCTGCCGTGTAGTGTATTGACTACCGTTTCCAGCTCTTTCATTTGGCACACTTGATAAGAATAGTTTTAGTTAAATAACTAGTTTATGTCTTTGATATTTTTGAATGTTGTGAAGATCAGTAGCAGATAGGAATCCCTGCAGCATATCTGTAGAAATTTCTTTCCAGGTTGACCTTTATCTTATGCCAGACTCCTTGAGTAAAGTTATTCAAGCATTCGTTAATCTGTTGAATTATATTGTCATCTAGCTCACCTCTCTCAGTCTTGTCTGCCCGATGTTTTGAGACACTTTTTCAGACACCTGCCAAAATCCTTCACCTGATGGAAGGTTGTGAATCTATAATATCAAAAAAGGAAACTAAGTTTATTTGGTATGCCTTGCTCTTATTATAGGCATGCTGCTGTCTATTGACATTATTTCCCATCCTCAGTGCCAATAAAACTGTGAATGTAATAAGCCCTTCTAGGATAGGATTTGTTGGAAACTAATATTGTGTTCTTTACTCTGTTGTAACTTGCAGGGAGAAATTTAATCTGTTTGTTCAAAGTAGGGGATTTGACAAATTTGAAAAATAGATTAATGAGTTGAAAAGTCATTACATGGTGAAACATATTAAGGCCATCATGGAGCCTAAGTTTTCAATTGATAGATAATAGGAAGTAATGGTAAATATCTGAGGAGAGTGTTCTGAAATATGTGAGGAAGAAAACCTTGTGGAAAACACACAATGTATTTGGCTTATATTTGCGTTCTGCTATGAGTAGTTGAGAGCCTTGTTTGCAGAAGAAAGTGAGGGAATGGATAGACCATCATGGAAAAAGATTTCGTTGGTACATAGGGACTGTTGGCATATAAAAGTTGAAAGGAAAAGAAAAATAGAAAATTGAGAACTCCAGGTCAGAACACCTAAGAAACTGAGAAGATATATGGCCACTGATAGACATGGAAAAGCCAGAGAGAAGCAAGATTTTATTTCCTTATTTAAAGAAATAGGATTAGTGACAACATTTTTTTCCAGTTAAACTAGTAATATAAATATATAAAGGAAAGTGTGAAAAATCAGAGAAAATAATGTACATCTTTTATTTGTAATATAATACCTGGAAACAACAAATATTTCATTATTTAATATTATGCATGTCTCTAAAATATATTTATGTGTTTCATACTAATATTTATATATTGTTTGTATCCTGTTCTTTTCACTTGCCATTAAATGATACACACTATTATATGTTTCTTCATGGTGCTAAATGACCATAAATACCACTTAAATGGCTGCTTACTGGTTTATCAAAATGATTCACTGTAATATACCTAATAATATCTTAACTGTTGGGACACTTGGATTCCTTTTTATTTTCTTTTGTGGCATTGAACTTTTTCTTTCTTAGGGCTTTGTTGAAACAATATTTTGAATCATTTCCTAATGATACATTCCTAGAAGAATTTCCATATCAAAAAATACCTTACATGAGTCTTGAGACATGTTACCAAATTGCTTTCCGAAAGGCTACTTCCAACATACTCTGCCACCAGCAGTGTGCAATCTTTATGTTTTTAATTTAGTGGAACATTTAAATGAAAATGGCATATGGACCAATGGGAGTGAAAGAGATCAGGGCTAGAAAAATAGGATCTAGGACTTAAAAAAAAATGAAATCGTATTATAAACATATAATTTCCTCATGGAGAAAATGAAGAATAGTGTAGGGAAATGCCCTGAAGAATTTTTTTAACCTTCTCATTTTACATAAAACTGTATAGTACACAGAATTAAGTGGCTACTCACGGTCATTCACTAATTTGCAGCAGAACCTGGACTAAAGCCTGGTCTCTAAGCTCCTGACCTGCCACTGTTGCACTAGATGACGCTGGGGCCCCGTGAATAGACTGTGGTAATGGGCCATAGTTACTGAGGTTAGGCATGGATGGGGTAGAAAAGAAGTGAGACAAGAAGCCCAGAAGGATGAGTTGTTACAGAAGTTAGGCACATAAAAATGTTCAGAAGAAAGTTGATGCCACTCTGTGTCTACTGCAGCAAAGAAGTCAAAATTGAGAACAGAAGATAAACTCTTAGCTTTGAAGTCAGGGTGGTCTCTGGCCTGCTATTCTCTTTGTTCTCCATTAGCATTCAGAACTGGCTGTACTCCAGCTTCACAGATAGGATTGTAAACATTTATAATCCCACAGTCATTTTTAACCATCCTAGTCTTGCATAGATTATATAGCTTTGCTTTACAGTAGCAGTAAAGGAAATAAAATTAACATTGTTTATGACTCTG